TTCGGGCCTAGACCCTGATGAAGGGTCTAGGCCCGAAACGTCAGCCTCTCTGCTCCTGTGATGCTGCTTGGCCTGCTGTGTTCATCCAGCCCTGCACCTTGTTGTCTAGTATAGGTGTGTTAGTTCAAGCCTGTTTATGGTGTTACAATCTCTGTAAAGACCAATATTCGGAGGACAAGAGGAGCTGTCATCACACTGATCTTCAAGAAGACAGAATGAACATCTCCATGAAACTGTAGGCCGACCAGCTCATGTCGATAAAATCTTGTCCGAAGGAAATCATTTTAAAAATCAAGAGACCAAAAATATAGCTGTAAAGTGTTAGCACAGATGCAAAACAAAAAGTCATATTTAACCAAGTGTTTTGGATTCTTTGAAGAGACTTCAATAAAGTTCCACACACTAGACTAATATAGAAGGTCAGAATTTTCTGAATCAGAAGCAAGTAGCTGAATGAATAATTCAATGGCTTCATATAGAGAGAAAAGATTCGGGGTAAAAGGACAACCATTTAAAGATGCAGAAGGTGCAGTTTCATGAGGCTCAATGCTGAAGCCAATGCTGTTTGTAATTTATGTTCGTGAGTGAAGCTTTAGAAATCTAAAAAAAGGCGAGCTATGAAATTCACTAAGACCCACTAAGATTCACTAAGACAGGCATTAAGATAACAAGGTCTGCTTGGCTGTACCTGTTCCTTCTAATGGAGCTCACTAATTGTGGAATGCCTTTATAAGTATAGCATGTGCAACCACAGGGAACGTGTTTTCTAAGTAGATTGATAGCACCCGGTTCTTTTTGCTCCACTCAACATTCTTCCTTTATTTATTGTCGATTATACAACAAGCTTCTTCAGAACCTGAGTTGAGGAATTGTGTAGCAGGAGAAGTGGTAGTGCTCACCACTGCCTGGACTTTGCAAAGTTTACACCACTGGTGCCGTATTCCAAATTCAGCTCCACAGCACTTAAAGTTGCTACAAGCCAGGAACTGCCCTTTACAATATGCTCCTGCGTTGTTGTCCCAAATGAAATGGCCAAGAAATGTAGAGTGACTCCTTATTTTGCAAACAGGGATTCAGAGGTCTGTGGTGGACAGGAGTGCAGTGCTGTTTCCTGTTCACCATCCAGGGAGACCGAGTCTCCAGACCCAGTCAACCAGAACTGAGATAGGGATCTGTGTCAGTAAAGCGTTCCAGGTGAAATGCAATGTGCAGTGCAGAAAGAAACTTTAATGACCTTTTGTTCTCCACAATGGTAAGGGCCACCAACTTCTCTCTGTCACTTTGCATGCACAGCTTCACCAATCACTCTAACTTATCCACTGCTAAGGCTAATCAACTAAAAATCTCATTATTATGTGCATAATTTCCACTCAATGGCCCTCATCTACCTCATCCTCTCAAATTATTAACCCTTCCTGATATCTCTTTTGTACTCAGTGGAGCCACCTCAACACATCTCCCGTTCCTGCATTACCACTAACCATCTACTGTCATCTTACTCAATCCCATCCTTTGTTTGGAACAGCTGACACAAGCTCCCAGGCTGATGTCTGCACAGCACCTTGAATGTAATCACCACAGGACTGACTGTGGCCAAAACCTCAGGCAGCAGTCAGACCTATGGGTGTGGTGAGACAATGTGTCCAAGTAACTGGCCAAAAGTCCCATGGATTAGAATAGGATAAACCCCTTGCCTGGCTGTGTTGGTACCCCACAACTGACCATAGATCCTCTTGACTCCATTTAAAGATACATCCCTTTTGATTTTTGCCCTCACCATGTGTTTGAAGCATATGCAGTCAGTTTGTTGTGTACCCTGATGGCACATGATGTCTGCATGACATTGACATCATACGATGCTGTACAGCAACATATCCACTTCCATGATTGTTCAGTGCTCCAACCCATAACCAGCGGACACCTTCCCTCCATGCT